CCCGGAACATACACGGACCCCAATGTCGACATTATGCTAATTGCTGCAAGGAAAATAAAGCTTATGTTCCAATAAGTTTCGATTGATCGGCTGAGAGACATGAGGCGCCACGAAGTTGTGTTTCAAAACTTTTGAACAGTTTTCACTTATTAAAAAAAAAAAAAATGAAGGGATTTGAAATAAAGTTAACTAAAAGAGGCAAGCTGACAAACCATGAAGCTCAAAGACAAGGACGTTCTGGTTTTAGCAGGCTAGCTGCATTAGTATCCCAGTTCCCACCATCACGTAACTGAACATACATCTAAGTGGATTTGGTCATGAACATCTCAATTCCGGCGATGACAGGCGCCGTTAATTCCTTTATCACAGAGCCAGATTAAATTACTCACCGAAAGCACATCCTGCTGCACACTGCATGTTCTCCGGGCTGAATAACTATGTCAAATTCGTGATAACGAGAACGTTTTACACGGCGTGCAGCGGTCCATGTCTAAACAGTTCTGATAAGTCTGCGCCAAGGTCGAGTGAAGAGCGCCAGCCACCCTCGCATCTGGAGATGGTGATCCACGACAATATCTCGACTTGTCTGTAACCTTCTGACGACCAGAACATAAATCCATCCGTGCAGCTTCACTCAAAAGGCTCATGATAAAACGACCTCATACAACTGCAATGTGGTTTGACACCCTCACGGGTGGTTGAAATCGCTCAGGCCGTCACCCAGCACACCTATCGATCACTGAGTAATTGGATGCGACAATCGGCCACGGCGGGGCGTTTATCTCGCGTCACGGATAGCACCCAGTCGTTTCTGATCACTGATCACTGCTGGGACAATGCGCTTCGTGACACAGGTCGCCGAGATGTTCCCACGGCAGCTCCCAACAGCTCTGCCGGGTCCTCCCGTCTCCCACGACGCAGAATTTCCAGTGAACTGTCGCACGGCCCCCTGGGGTTAGATGACCGAGGACAAAGAAATGGAGGGATTTTTTTCGATATTTGGGCGGTTTCCAGGGGCAGTGAACCGATTCTGAACAGTTCGATGACCATGAAATCGGTAATTAGGTACATAGCTGGGTGACATTGCCGTGTGATGTTGAGGGCGACAACGTGATTTGCAAGCGAACCCAAGCCAAATACGTATGCAAATAACCAATTTCTTTTAGCGTGAGATGATGTAAAAACAATACCTAAGAATAACAATTTCTTTTAGATGATTAAGTTGTGTCGCGGTTATTCATAGGTGCACATTAGACAAAATCCCCGCTCAGTTGATTATATGGTCTTCTTCTGTCCCTCCCCCTTCCCTCCTTTCTTTCTTCGTGCCTCCCTCCCCTTCTCTCTCTCTCTCTCTCTCTCTCTCTCTCTCTCTCTCTCTCTCTCTCTCTCTCTCTCTCTCTCTCTCTCTCTCTCTCTCTCTCTCTCTCTCTCTCTCTCTCTCTCTCTCTCTCTCTTCCACAAGTACCTAGATGAGTGCTACCATAAGTAAGATTCGTTTGCACGAATCCCTATATCAGCACGTCGTCTCAGCCAGCGCCAACTCTATAACTAGGCTGCTCCGAGCTGATGAAGTGCTTGCTGCGATCATGCAGCTCATATGTGGACATGACTCATGGTACACGGACGTGCTCAGCGCTCAATACTCAATCAACTGCAGATCAGGTGCCCTCGCAGCAGGCAGTCAATGCGTGACCCATCCCCTGGAAGCTCTGCCTATGCCTAGCGCTGTTTCAGACGGAGGGGTCCGCCCAGCGCGGGTGAGGGTCGCTGTTAGACAACCACCTCCGGTCTGTGCCGACCCGTGCTTCTCCTTGACGGCGTCACATCAGTCCCACTCGGGGAGCGCGCGTCAACATCAGAGCCGCCTAATGGGAAACAGGGCGAGCCACTCGGGGCACGTGGCCCCGGCGACATGCGGGTGACGTTTTTGGACCATTTTAGACGGTGCGGCGCGTTTTTGTGACCGTCCAGGGAGGCAGTCTTTCAGAGGATCGCTCGCGACGCGTCGCAGGTGCCGCGCGACAAATGCGACTGTCACTGGTGGAGGTGGCGGGAGAATGCAGAATGCGACGCTCATAGCTTTTTGTGTGGCGCCCGATATTGTGAGGCGAGGGAGTGGCGCCTTTTGGCCGGCAAAATGGGCGTCTACGTGGTGTTTCGCATAGGTAAACGTTCACTTCACGACACATTCTTGCCGTTGTTTAGAAGGTATCCATGTAATCGGCCTATCGTTTGAGGATGGGGAGGGTGCGAACCCCGAATGAAGCAGACGATGCACTGTCATCCATCGAACAGTTTTCATCACATGGCACTCCACCCAAGTCCTATTAAGTACCAGGATGCTGCACTATGTTTAGCATCGCCCCCCATCTGACTCACGACGCCACCAAAAGCATCAGGATGACGCTTTCAGCTGCCCTGCACTCGGCATTCCTAGGGGGACCTATAATACTTATGTAGGCCTGAATGCTCACATGTGAACGTCTGCATTGCGAGAAAATGAAAATCATTTTAACGTTAAAAATCGCTCTTTTATATATCTATTCCCAAAAGCAAAATGGTCTGTTTGCCGTCAGTAGTTTGCCGGGTGCCTTTTTGTGGGACCTCGCGCCGGCTCAGCTTGGGTCACGCGCCCAAGGCCGGGGCACCAGGGACCATGTGTGGTGCGGCCGGTCCAACTAGGTACGAGGGCCACCCGAGACACGCCGGAAGGTGGCCCGCGTCTTATGCCGAAATTAACGGTCACAATGACACGGCGACGCCGACCGGAGCCCCAATCAGGCGCACCACACTGGTGAATAATGACAGGATCGCCTCGTAATGACCGGGCCGTCTTCCTGCGAGGAGACGGCCGCCAGCCGGCACGTGGACTGTGGCGTCACCCCTCCCTCTAGAGTCTACGGAGGGGGGGGGGGGGTGGCAGCTGTCGAAGTTAATGACACCGTGAATACCATCCGTCATGCGTACGGAGGTCAGAGCGGACACGCGTCCCGACTGCCGGCGGAAGATTTGCTAGTTCAAGGAGCATTAGCCGCGCCTAACGATGCGTTTTAGGGGCGCTGAAGGGCTGCTGGAGGGAGCTTGGAGAGAGAGAGGCGCCGAACTCATGAAGAGGCGAAGAGAACGAAGAGCCCCAACAACGTGCGACAAATTCCCGTGTTGTGACTTGAGCTCAATTTCATGTAGACTATATAATTCTTTGCTTCGTTTAGATATGTGAATAATTTATACGGAGTTTCAATACCATCGCATCAGTAGTGACACGCAGCTGCGGGTCAATCGAATTCCGATGGGCATAAATACAAGAGAGAAAAAAGATAAAAAAGGAAACAAAGAGGGACAGAAAATTAAAAAGTGTGAGAAAGTGCTGGCTATCGTCGCGATCGGTGATAAGTGTACCCTGGACAGAATTATTGAACTTTGGGATACTAGCTGATACTTAGAACAATTTAATCGAAATTTTTGCTTAACCTTCCAGGTGGTGGGGGACATTTTTTGCCCCCCCCCCTTTAATTTTTTTTTGTCTATATATCTCCAGAACTGCTGCGCCGATCGTACCAAACTTTCAGTACCCTCCCGTGAAAAGCTTTTGCACATTGTGACCAAATTTTATTTTTCCAAAGGCTATGATGGGTTCGCCGCTAACGACGTCGGAGTGACGTCATTTCTGCCATTTTCGACACAAAAAAGTTTCGCGGGAAGAGCTGTCAGGCTCTTCCCGCGAAACAGCTTTAGAGATACAGAAAAATGTTTTAGACATAAAAGGTGTAAACATTAAGAGGGCTACAACATAGATGTCCCGGATTTTTGGAATTTTTGAATTTTGATCCCCAAAAATAAAAAAATAGTTTTTATAAAAATATAATAGCCGAAAAATCCAAAATGATTTTTGAATTTCGAAAAAAAAACAACGGAATATATGTGATAGTCCCTACCGGCTTCTATCCACATACCAAATTTGAGATCGATACCTCTTTTTTGGGCCAAGTTATAGCGAAAAAAACTCAAAATTGATGGCGAAAAATTTTCAAACTCAATTTTTGGCAACTCGTAGGGCAAAACAAAGACCACCATTAGACTCCTCGTGACGAGCTGCGTCGAATCAATACCCATTTCATGCAAAACAATCAACTTTGAAATTTGAACTTTTTTGACCTGACCTTGACCTGACCTCCACCAGAAAGTGGCCTAAACCGTACCTGATGGTCTTGTAACCAGCACCATTGAGTTGGAAATGAAAAATTGGCCATAAAACATGCATCGCACAACCTTAGTACGTACCTAAAGTTGGGTTCATGTGCTGAGGCTGACCCTTGGTGACCTGACCTGTGACCTGACCTGGTATTATCAGTGACCTCTAATAGCAACATATGTACTGGGCAACTGACGCTCTATCGCTGATTTTCGACAAAATGCGCTTTACTCGGTGTTATAGCGCATTCCCTTGAAGACCAGTGAACGGTGAAATATTTCATCTTTGACCTGACCTCTGACGCCATATCGGTGACCCGAGGTCAATGAAATTTGGTTTCCTTCAACAAATTTGACAGGGCTATCGAACGCCGTTTGAATTTTACGGATCCGTTCAGTAGTTTCGGAGATGGGGGGAGGCAAAAAATGCCCCTTCCCCCACCGCGCGGAAGGTGGCCGGGAGGCCCACCGCCTGCCGGGTTAATAGGCAAAAAGCGATGTTTGTGACAGTTTCACACTTAGTGGTTTGATGGGCATACTTTATGTATGCATACCCTAGCTTGCTACTTATTTGTTTGCTTTATTAGTGCTGCAATTGTCTTCATATCTTATGATAATTGCTCCCGGGAATAACCCAAAGTGACTGGTGAATTATCAAAGACTGTGGGGAGGACAAACGATATCTGTTGTTTGCGTGTGAGCAGCTAAGTGTCAATGATAAATGATTCGCTCGGCAGAACTCGGTTTCTACACCAACGCCACAACGCTGAGGGCGCGAGGAGGCACTAACTAAGGTCACTCGCCGACAGCTAGGGCGTGAGGAATGGGCTTTACGAACATCGGTCCTCGTCACCAACATCCAACAGCGGCATTCGGGAAAAGGTAAGTGTCTTTTAGAAATGAATAGTTGTATAAACATGGTAATGACCTTACAACGCAGATAAGGACCCATTTGGGATTGTGTGTATGCTTGTGTTTGTGTATGTAAGTGCTCAATCACAGAACTTTGTCAGGAGATTGTTGCCAAATCATATGTATACATAATTGATGCATTAGATCGTATTCTTAAAATAAAATGTTAGCTTATCTGTGCAAGGTGACGGCTAATGAGGTTTCAGCTAATAATCTGTGACCGTATTCACAATCATGGGTTAAGGGTAGGGGTAGGAGTAACGGGTACCTAATCGTTTTTTTTTGCCGTATTCACAATCGAAGTTTACTCCTGATGGTCGCCCGGCGCCACGCAGACGGCACCACGCAGGCCAGGTGCCGTCTGCGTGGCGCCAGGCGACCATCAGGGGTAAACTTCGATTGCGCATACGGCGACAAAATAACCCGTTACCTGTTATAAACAGGTATATATTATATATACCTGTTACCTGTTATACTCCTACCACCTACCCTTAACCCGTGATTGTGAATACGGCCACTGAAGATTGTGGTAAAAATCTCTAAAAAAGAAAATCATCTCCAAAACATGCTACCATATTCTTATTGGCAAATAGCAGCATCAACGTCCCATGTCGAGAACAAAATGCTCTGTCTGTACCAAAACTGAAGGCATCACTGCGAATTCGTGTACTTATTCACACGCTAAACAAATTAGTCTAAATTGCTGTTAGCACTGTTTTGAGAGACATGCTTAACCATATAATTAAGTAAAGTAACCGTACTCTCATAGTTAATATCCAAAATCGTAAGAAAAAGCTGTAATTCCGAGGAGCTTTCGGCTTATACGACTTCTTCAACTCGCTCAGAGCGAACTAAACAATTTAGATTGATTACATAAGTTTTTCTTCATTTTTATTTAATCAGCAAAACCTCCTTCGTTATTATTCCTTTATAATAATTGCACTATGACACAATGTGCTCGACACATGTGACCCTGTCAGCCAATTGCATTGCTTATTGTGATGTAGGTAGCCACATCGACAGTTACGAAGATAGGAAACAAATAATAATAGTGTCATGCTAAAATGATAACGCAGCCAAAATAAGCGTAAATTCAGCTCCAACAAGATCAATCCGCCCACTAGTTCACGAGCATATTCTATCTCACTCACGTTTAATTTAAAGAACAACTGTAATGCCAATCCATGATACTAGAAACACTGGACGACAAGTTGATCTGTTCATGTTGGCTGTGATCGTTTCCGTGAGTTGTTCACGAACAGAGATAAAGTGACCAAACGTGCAACGGTACACATCGTATGACTCGGTCCAGCACATGCGAAGTTCTTTCGGAGATTTGGTGGCGATGGAAATCCCGGGTTTATAATAATGAAATCACGGGTAGGTCACGTATGTACCTACCTCCAAGCCAAAGTATAGGCATTTAATTACTGAATGAATGTTCGATGAATCTAATGAGGTTGCTTTTTGCCACCTCAATTCCTTCAGATGTCTCTGTATTATTGTGAACTTAAGAGCGCACATTTGATAATACCGAATACGTATCACCTATCATGCCATGATCCTTACCTGCAGGCTGGCCACCGAGGTCCTGGGAGGGAGAGTTAGCTGTTAGGAAACATTTGGGAACTGGTCTGTGAAAGTAACCACTCTAGAGCGGTCGGAACACAGGCGGTAATGTCTGGAACACGAGCGGCACCACGCCATACAGCTTGTAACTCCCATAGAAGTAGCTTTCACATTCGTGGAGTCCGTTCGTAACCAGGCCGACAATTATACCTCCCATAAGATTCATCATCACCAGAATGGTGATAATGGACACGAAAAGCGCATCGAGCTGGCACGGTAGCTTCACGTAAGCGCGCTTGTTTGTAGTTCAAGTTTGCTCTCCCTGGTGGTTTTACTTTCCTTTGGTCTTACCGTCGCCGCGTCGGGTGTCTCCCAGCTTTGTCCCCCTTTCCCCGGACCAGACCAAGCGTTCCAGGTTTTCGCGGCTCCTGTTGTCGCAAACTGTGCCGGTAAGCCCGGCGTGGCGAAGTGGCGAATCATGCACGCGACGCGACAACTTAAGAAGCTTACAAAAACGTACTCATGTGTTTGTAGTAGAGCCTATGGATATCTGTTGGACGATCAGTCATGAAAATTTGGAGAAAAGCATACAACTATTGTGTTACTCGATGTCCGGTTCAGTAACGCAGCCAGCAGTGAACGACATTTAAGTGTAAAAGTTATTTTATCTGACTATTGTTCTAAGGAATGGCTTTTGTCAGGCCAACCGCATGGCGGAAATTTTGTGTCAAAACACCATTGACATTGTATACTAGACGCATTTATATTAATATGACTCCTGAACGTCCACAGTCCCAGGGAAACCGGCTTCCGGTCCCCCTAGGAGAGGGCCGGCGCGGCGGCCGTCCGGCCGTGTTTAAAGGCCCGCGGACGGTGGCACGCCGGCCAATTTGGCCAGTAATTGCTGGCGGCGGGAGGCTTTGTCGGAGAACCGGTGGCTCCATGTGTTTTACGCCCGGTTCTCACGGGTCGTCCATGGTCCAGTGCTCCTGGGTGCCGCTAGCAGTCCACTGGGAAGCCATGCTGAAGCACACGGGCACTCATTGCGTCAAGGCGAGCAGTGGCCGCCTTCGTCAAGGGCTGTTTGCGATTAGCTATGGGAATATCTTATTTGATCACGGCATGAAACAGTCACGGGATTCAACGCATTTTATATCACTGTGATGGCACAAAATCAATATTATAAGTTTGCTTAGAAAAAGTTTTTCAACAAGAGCCAAAAACAAATTTAAAATGCCAAAGGCAAAACCAATGCATAAAATGCCAATATTTAACAGCGGAGCACTTGTGATATGCGCACCCTTGAAGTCCCAGCAGGCGGCAGGCTTTCATAAAATTGTTTAGGCCAAGCCTCAGATGGACTGTGGCAGTTGAGATCAACATCATACTGTCTGGAGCTGCAACTAGGTCCCGCTATACGGCCATACCGGGCTCGGGTTTCTCTGGTACGCTCATTCCCATGCTCTTTACCGGTGCTGGCAGCCGCTGAGCGTCGTGATTGTATCACAAACACAAACACATAACGAGACGCTAACGGCCAAAGAGCCGCCGATTATTACGGCTGATGGCACCCTGTGAACCGCACAGTGACGCTGTTTTTCATCCCGTCTCAGACTCCTTACTGACCGATGAATGCTCGCGCCAGAGAGATTAGCTTACTGACCTCTAAGCTGGACAGGCTCAGTGCTTTCCTTTCTCGCGGTGTGCTTGGGCATACCGTTTGACAACTGACGAGGCACCGATCAGCCCCTGGTGACACGGGGAGCAGGTCCGTCACTTACCGACCCAGCAGTCGGCAAAAAGTGCGCCACATTCCGACCTAACTGCTGCCGTCCGGTGTGTGTGTCTGTCTGTGTGTGTACCCACGGCCGGTGGCGGCTCGCCGCTCCGTAATTTGTCCCCAAATGATACGCCGGCCCGGCGGTCATGAGGGGTTCATCGAAACGTCTAACCCTTCCGACGCTAACCGTAAGAATTGACTGAGGGTTGTCGGAGGTGGGATGTGTCAAAGCGTCTAAGAATCACCCCAACATCCTGACCGGGCCGCACCTTCTAGCTCCTGACAACTAACATCTTGTCATCGCACAAGCGCTACCAAAGTCAGCGATGCTGTCACTGGCACGTCGCTCTCATGTCGCGGTTGAAGGATCCTTGTCTTTGTTTGAAAAGGATGCCACTCCACGAATCTCCAGTCCATAGCACGTGACACGTATGAAGCCCACATGACCAGACTTTTCAGTAACTTACCGCGAAAGACGTCACCGACTCGCAAAACTATACGTCAACGGTCGTGCCAGCTGCTTTGCTAACTACTTGATATGGAAGTCACAGCTCACATTATCTGTCATCTGCTTGCTAAACACGTTTCAAACATGTTTCAATTACAGACTACATCAGATTAACACAAAAATGTTTATTGTTAGCATAACCAGTGTCGAAAATAAACTCATATTTTAGAAGAAAAAGGTGAAAACATCTGAAAGCAAGTAACCAGATAGCAGAATATCGGACTTCTAGCGCCCGATGTTTCCGTCAAATCCCCGATAAGCTCTGCTACGGAGATGGCGACAGAACAAACCACACCACTGACGTCACGAGGCCAGACCAGTGACGTCACGCTTACCGTTCCACGTGCGCCGGATTCCCGATCATAAGTTACCCTGGGGTGGCAGGCAACTGGCAATGATTCTGATCATTGAAGGTCAATGAACAGTCAGCCGTCCTGTCTGGAAATACTGTGTCGGCACGACCAGTATAGGTGCAGTGGGCGGAGTGGGGGGGGGGGGGGGGAGGGCACTGGGCGTGATCGTGACACCTGGAATGTGCGCTGGAATGGCCGGATCGTCCGCCGTGGGACCTTCCTTTGTCTTGGCACGTGTCAGGTGCAAGACTGCAGTGAAGGAGCTTGGTGACGAACAGTGTGTTACATGCGGTGTGCAGTGTGCAGGGATGTGAATGAGCTCTAGAATAGGGGAAGATCGTAAAGAAAGTCCAAACGATTATAAACAGTTATTCCTGGCTATTCACGAAAACATTGTCACCTCTTGGAAACATGGACATTGGACATTGCATATCTTTGTTATGTGTTTTACCGGTACCCATTCAAATGCCAGTGTAATTGATCCAGCTTTTATGCTATGCTATAGAACCTGACCCCATAAACAAAAGATATTTACGCAGGGCTCATAAAACTCGAGCCAGTTTATCAAATACTTTTATGACACCACAACCGTTGCGGTGAACATTTTTCCGTACGCTCAAACAAAGCATAAAACTTCTAAAGATAGCCCGTGTTTGGCTCCGTGTGAGCGCCGCCGCGGTCGGGCAGGGCGGCCCCACAGTCGGCCGACCGCAGTGACCGGCTCACGACCGGGTGCGGTCAGCCACCCAGCCACCGCCAA